ACTTTTATTTTTTCCATGTCTATTTAAGTGTTATTTATGACACCATGTTTGCACTGAAGCACCGCAGCAATTTCCTAATGTTGTAAACCTGCTCAACATTTGGCAATAAAACCCCATTCTGATTCTGATTCTAAAAAGATGCACTTTAAGTTTCCAACTCAGGAGTCATGACTTTATTCAGATATTATACTTTATTTGCATATGTCCAAACTGCTTGATAGTTTGGATAGATTATTTTTTTATAGGATAAAATAAAATGATTTGACCTTTTTGTGTTTTCTTTTTAGACTAAAGACAAGAAAACAAAGAAACACGTGGCACATATCTATTTTTATATCTATACTCATCAGTAGAGAAATAGAAAGGTCTGGGGTTGTGACTAACAAAAACCAGGACGTGATGATTATTATTTCATGCTCATGTTGACCTTTTTATTGTTTTGTTTTTCTTATTTACTTCAGGCTGCATCGGATGATGTGGGGCTGAATGCAGATGAGGAATCTGCATCCAAGAAGGAAAAGAATAAAGAAGAGGTTAAGGAAAAAATGGAGGTCGTTAAGCTACATTCCTTCTGTTCATGAACAACTTTTTTTTTAAGTTGGCACAAACATTTATTCATTTTACTGCAGGAGTATTTCAGTGTTTGACCTTTACAATAATTCTGACATCTTTTTATGTTTTTATTTTATTTTTTTCTTTTAGACCAACGTCAAGAAAAAAAAGAGGCACAACCCGTTCATGCCTGATGTAAAGGTAACATTCAAACATGCAACATGTACAAACAGTTCTCTTCCATTTTGGTTTACACAACCGAAGCTTTCCCCGACATTCTCATAAAAATAATCAGTCAGTTTTTGTTGGATTTTCTTTTTTTGGGGGTGTCGTCACGAGAATGGCTCTGTACCTTTTGTGGAGCTGACACTGAGCTGGAGAAACCAAAATTTGAGCAGACAGATCCAACCTGACATCATGCTACATGCCACTTTTACGAAACGCGTATCCACCCATTTATTCTGTGCTAATTATCATTAGAGAAGTCTAATGATCAGAATGGCAATCCTCCTGGCACTTAACAGCGAATACTATATTGCTCTGTGTTGAGGGACGTGATCTTTGGGGTGGATCACTTTTTGCCGCAGAATGTTTTGGTGTTTAACCCTTTCATGAAGTATGACAACCTCAATCAGGATTTTTTTCTTAAGTATTTTTATTCATCTTTAGGCATGAAAAAAGATTTTCGAACTTCATTTTTTTAAACATGTACTTTTCAAAGAGTTTTTTACGTGTCCACTTAGGTGGATGATAGGAATAGTAATTAGTT